ACCCCGGGGATCGAACTCAGGTCCTTGCACTTGCGAGGCAGGTGGTAGAACCACTGAGCTAAATCCCCAGCCCCTCCCAGAACCAATCTTAACTCAAGTAAAGCTGCCATTAGATGACAACTCCCATTTCCCCTCCCCCCAGCCCTTGGACACCACCATTCCCCTTTCTGTTTCTATGAATTTGTACAGTCCGCTTTTTCATATTGTACATCGAACTCAGGTCCTTGCACTTGCGAGGCAGGTGGTAGAACCACTGAGCTAAATCCCCAGCCCCTCCCAGAACCAATCTTAACTCAAGTAAAGCTGCCATTAGATGACAACTCCCATTTCCCCTCCCCCCAGCCCTTGGACACCACCATTCCCCTTTCTGTTTCTATGAATTTGTACAGTCCGCTTTTTCATATTGTACTTAGGCTCCCATTCTAATTCCTAACAGCATTCATTCGTCTTCCTTTTGCTTGGATACTTTCACTGGCCTTCTGCTGTCTGGTGTTTCCCTCCACTGGGTTTGGGTGGGTACGCTGTGACATTCACCCAGCCATGAGCTGCCAAGAATGAATTTCCTGATACTTATCCCTTTGTAAGTGAGGTCTGACTGGATCCATTGCTATTGCACTCTTGCTGTATTATTGTTCTGAGCGAGGGGAGAGGCGCTGTGGCCGGCCTCCCTCCCCTGCCCCGCTGTCCAAGCCTCTGCGCTCACCTGCTCAGACTCGTGCTTGGGCTGGAAGAGTGTCTTCAGCCCTTTCTGGGATCGGATCCTTCCTGGCTGGGGCTCCAGGACCCCACGATCCCCTCCTGCCTCTTTTCTCTACTGACCCCAGGCCCTGCCCCTTCCTCCTGGTATGGGCACCATTCCAAAGTCCAATATCCCGGCCCGGGGACTTCCCTGGACCCAGGCTGACAAAGGCAGCACTAAATGACTGTGCCTAGCAGGAACTGCCTTTGGCCTCAGCAGTGAGTGCAGGACCTACTCGTGTTTTCTCAAGCAGGAATGGAGCTGGGCCCCAGTACCCGCAAAACTCTGGGGCCACCCTTTGCAAAGGCTCCGCCTAGGGTGTCCCTCAGACCTGCTTTTTCACTGTCTGGTCCCACAGGATCTCGGAAGAAGCGGAAGAGTAAGAGTTAGGTGTGTGGTGAGCCCATCAGAATCCTTCCCGTACCACACAGCATACTGCTTCTTGGGATTCCTGGACAGGTAAGGAAGCCTCCCTAGAAACAGCTGCTACCCGGATGGATCCCAGACCAAGGGCCCTGCCTAGAGGAGAGAGGACACCAGCAGGCAGGCTCCTCAAATGGAGACTGGGGTTCAGGGTTGGCTGCTGTGGACTGACTCCTGCTTTCCTTGGCCTGGGCCTGGCCACTGGAAGCTGCTGTGGGCCGCACTTGCTGAGGCTCTGGGCCTCACTTGGGCCTTTGGTCCGCTGAGTCAGGGACAGGTTTGATTTGGAAACTGACAGAGACATCAAAGTTTGTGCAGACTATATGCTGTGCATTAGCAGGATAACTTCAAATTCCTGCCTGGATTTCCTTCGGAAAGTTTAGCTCTCTGCCCGCTTTGCCATTGCATGTCCTGACTTTAGATACTCTTTTCCGAGTCTCCAGCAGGATTCCCGCAGGATTTGGGATTCTCCAGATCTGCACCCTGTAGGCCTCACTGTGCCCTGCGCATGCATAGCACACAGGAATCTCGTGTGTGCACAAGAGCACACACACATGCATCCCGCACACTGCGGCTGTCCCTTGCCCTGCCCCTTATACCGGGGTGGGGAAGCACTACGTACGTTGTGCTCCTGCTTATCAGCTGCTCCTTAGCTTCCTGTGCCTGGAGCGGCAGGAGCCTGGGACCTGACAATGAGCACACGGCTTCCTGACTGCAGCTAATGAGAGGAAATTCCGTCATCAGCACACAGAAATCTGGGGATTTCAGGCTGCGGCCTCAGCCGCCACTCCCTGAGCGGGGACACTACACCATCTGTGTCCATCTAGGCAGCCCTCTGGCCCCAGGCAGTCCGTGGACCCTGCCAGAGATGTCTTCTTTTGGCTGCTGGGGCCTGCTCACAGCCCTTCTCGTCCTGCTCTGCTGTTCAGGTGAGCTGGGACCCAGGCTCCTGGCGTGGGGCAGCCCAGGTCGGGGGTATTGGCCTTGCACCTTGGGCTTCAAGTAAAGAAGGAACTTGCTGACCCTTTGAACCATGGTTCTGGGAAATGGGTGGGGTCCTGGCCTTTTGGACCCCAGGCGGAACAGGCCCCACCGCAGCAGGGTAGTGGGTGTGGCAGGCTGTGGACGGGGGTTGCTCAGGAGGTGAAGGGGTGCTAAAGAAGATGAGGGTGTACGCCCAGCACCTGTCTTCTAAAATAGCCGAAGGGTCAGCTGGGAGACAGGGCCGTCACCTCTGGTTGTGGTGAGAGCAAAGGTGAAGCTTTTCTCATTTGGCAGATGGGTGACCCTTTCCCGTGGGGTGGTTGGGAGCAGTGAGTGAGACAGTGCTTTGAGGAGACCTGTTACCTCTCCAGTTCCGGTCACCAGGGTCTCCCCATTGCTCCCCAAACACTAAGCACACTCCCAAGTGAGCCTTTGCTCCAGCGATTCCCCTTGTCCAGGACACCCACTAACATCTGCAGGGCTCACCACCGCCTTTTACGTCACTGTCCTCGAGAGGCCTTTGTGACCACACACTCCATGCTCCCTTTCCCCTGAACTTGATTGTTCTTTGCTGTTGTCTGGGCCTCCTCACTGGTGAGCTTTGGTCACTGCTGCATCCCCAGAGGCTACTACAGTGCTTAAAGCATAATAGGTGTTCAAAAGCATTTATAGAAGACACGGAAAGGGAGGTTAAACCCAGGACCACAGGTCAGGGGACACAGCTCAGAGCTCTCCTCCGTTCTCAGAGAAGCCTTCATGGAGGAGGGGACATGGGGCTGGACCTTGACAGAGATGAACTAGGAACTTGGGGAATGCTAACTGGAGCTGACCGGCAGAGGCACTGAAGAACAGACAGCCCAGAGGCAGGGAGAGAGAGGCGGGGAGGCTGAGTCTTTGGCCAAGCCAGGAATAGGACCGAGGGATCACCCATGGCCTTGATCCCCACTGCCAGTTGGCAGACAACGCCACTGGCAGGGCAGCGGGGATGTCTACTGCCCAGTGCGTCTGGTCTTCTAGGGTCCGCTGAGGAGACATTCGAGGTTTCCATATGGCCCGAGAGGTTGGCGGTTGAGGCCACAGGGTCCAGGAAAGTCAACTGCAGCACCAGCTGTATCCAGCCTGAATGGGGCGGCCTGGAGACCTTCCTCACTAAGCATCTGGTGGACCAACAGCCTCAGTGGCAGCAGTACTTGGTCTCGAACATTTCTCGGGATGCGGAACTCATTTGCTACTTTTCCTGTGCTGGGAAGACGCTGACAAAGAGGCTGAATATCAGCGTGTACCGTGAGTGGTGACGCGTGTGTGTTGGGCGTATCTCTCCCGGGCAGACCTGTGCCTACTGAATGGGCTGGAATCTGCTCTATCGCAGTGCGGAGTCCTCATCACAGACAAGGAGCGGGGCGGGCCGGTGGGCTCAGGATTCGCTCACACCCTTGATGGTCCCTGAGCAAGCCAACCCAGTTCTGAATCTCGCTCCAAGGAGAACAGTCTACCTAAGGTTTACCCAGACCCAAAAGTCATTTAGCTGCACGGTGTTCTTAAGTCTCCCCCTAGCTCAGACACCTTACATCTCATGCACAGTTCATGGGTGTATGGCGGGGGTGTTGAGTGCGTTGATGTAATTATCCAGTTGTTTAATCTTTGAAATCTGTATTTAATATATCTGTAGAGGAGGGAGACACACAGGCCCAACTTCTATATCTTCAAAGGTGGCTGTGCAAGTTCTGGACCTTTTCTTTATCCCCACCTTGTCTATTCTCGAAATCATGTCCACAGAACTACCACCAAGTACATCTTCACACTGAAAGGCTTCCTTTTTCCTCTCTACACTAGAGCAGGCCAGGCCCTCGTTCATCGCCCCCTCACAGGTCCCCGGAGGGAGCTGGAACGCCACGGTGTCAGGAGATGGCCCCGGCCGCTAACGAGACCTCTCACCTTCACCCCCTCAGAGCCTCCGAAGCAGGTCACACTGACGCTGCAGCCCACACGGGTGGCCTTGGGCACATCCTTCACCATTGAGTGCAGGGTGGCTGCCGTGGAGCCCCTCGAGAGCCTCACCCTCATCCTGCTCCGGGGCCAGGAGACTCTGCACAACCAGACCTTCGTGGGGGCCGCACCTGCCTCCCAAGAAGCCGCCACCACATTCATCAGCATGGCTCAGAGAGAAGGCGGCCCCCTCAACTTTTCCTGCCAGGCTGAGCTGGACCTGCGGTCTAGAGGCGGGGACGTCATTCGCAGGGTCTCGGAGCCCCAGGTCCTCCAAGTCTATGGTAATGAAGCTCCACAATGACAGGGTGGGGCCCTTCGGCCTTTTAGCCTCCAGTGTGGAGGAAAAAATGGAGCACTACTCACAGGCTGATTGGGGTGCACACTTAATCCTGAAGTTTCCTGTCTTCTTTCTAAGTCCCCAGCCTGGATCCTGACTGTTCTAGAAGTCAGGAGAGTTCAACTAGTTGCTTGGCCATTATCTAGCTGCGTGGCCATGGCCAAGGAAGGCAACCTGCTCTCTCTGACCTTGACTCCTCTCCATGATGAGAGGGTCGGCCTGCTCATCTGAGGTCTCCAAGGCCTGCTGTTCCATGGCCGAGTGGCCAGTGCTCCCTGTCTGTGGGGAGTTTGCCTGAAGCTCACGGCGCTGCCTGAGGAGGGCCATGGTGTCGCTCACCAGGACATGCTGCTCCCAGGGGCTGCTGGCAGGGGGACATCTGCCCTAACCATCTCACAGAGGTCTGGCCAGGGACTGGAGCCTGGGCCACTCTTCTTCTAGATGCCGCTCCGAAGGCAGACACCACACTTCACTCCTCTCGGCAATCAGGGTGACTGGAGGATCAGGGAGTGGCTGATGGGTGGTGGGTAGACATCTGATCCCTGCCACACCCTGGCACCCGAGTCTTCTCAAACGTCTGTTCCCTCCCCAGAGCCCGTGCAGGACAGCCAGATGGTCATCATCGTCACGGTCGTGTCAGTGCTGCTGTTTTTATTTGTGACATCCATCCTGCTCTGCTTTATCATCAGCCAGCACCAGCGCCAGAGGCGGACAGGCACCTATGGGGTACTGGCTGCCTGGCGGAGGCTGCCCCGCGCCTTCCGGGTACAGCCTGCATGAGCCACGTGGCCACCACCATGTGGCTGCTGGAACCTCACACGGCTCCTCAGGATGGTGGTCCAGCCTGGCTGAGGGACTGACGGCAGCATGGGACTCTGGGGAGACTTTCTTTTCTAGCCTGAATACAAACACCTGGACTTAACCTGGTGTCCTCCACATCTGCTCCTGGGATAACAGTCAGCGGCTGGGAAAGGGGAAGAACTGGCCCGGCCTTCTCTCTCCAGAGGTGTCCTCCTTCCTGCCCTCTCCTTCTCAGGGGCCTTCCAGGGACGCAGCCAGACCAGAACCCAAAAGCCCATCGCTGGGCAGCCCAGGCACCAGATGACCTCTCTCATCTGGCCTGGGTGACTAACTCCTACTGAGAAAACAAGGAAAACAAGGCAAGGAAACACCCTGGCCTGGGGGCAAAGGACACTCAGTTCCCACCTGGCCCCGTGGGACCTTAGGGTACTCCCGGGAGAGGAGTAGGACATGGCCAGTACTCTTCTGGCGGCCAAGGTTAATTTCCTGGGCTGATGGTGGATCCTAAGGGCACTGCCTCAGCTCCAGGCTGTCCTCCAGATAGGAGGAGCTTCAAGGAGCTTGGGAAACAGCAGCAGTCTTTTCCTCTCAGCTTCTGCCCCATTCTTAACTGAGCCGGTGACCCTATAGCCTTTGTTATCCAAGGAGACAGGGGGACAGAGGTGGGCTGGGGCAATGCTCCGGTCCAGGCAGGAAACCATGGGCCAGAGTTGGGCTCATGTGGCTTCTGGGCCTGGGCTCGAAGGCTGTCTTCTAGGCCAGTTGAGGATGGCAGTAGAGTGGACAGGGGTGGATCTCCCAGCCCCAGAGGAGAGGGCTGCCGGGATGGCTGCAGTCAGCGGACAATAGTGAGCAAGTGGAGACCACAGGGCTGTTCTTAGCCCTGCACCGAAGCTGGCGAGGACCCTTGCAAGCGTCCATTCTCAGAGCAGGCTCTCAACATCATAGTAGTCTGGGGAGAGAATACCTCCATCTTGCATCCCTCCCACCCCAGTGGACTCCAGGTGGAACAGAGAAGAGACAGGCCAGTGCCCACTGCCCCCATTCCCCGCCCCGGCACATAACCTTCCTGGCCAAGGCCCCACTGCTCACCATCCAGACCCCTACCTGAAGCTGGAGGTACATCTGCACCCACAGTCTCTGTAGCACTGGGGGGTGGGGGTGGGGGCACAGCCCTCCTGAGGTGGGGCACAGAGAAGAAAGACCCCTTCAGAAGCCCACAGGCCCCTGGCTAGCTCTTCCAGCCCAGCCCTCAAGCAGAAACTTGGCAGTAACCAGACCCCCAGCCTACTTACACCTCCCTTTTCCCAGAGGCAGGAGGCTGGTGCTGGGTCCTGGGCGTGGCCTGTGAGTAGGGTTGGCTCAAGGGAGAGGGAAAGAAAGGGGCTGGCCAGAGGGGCCAGGGGCCCAGAGAGGGCACCGGGTAAGGCAGGTAGTGGTGATGGAACACTAAAGGCACATCCTCCCGGATGTACATCTTCTCTGGCTCTTCCTGTTGCCCCTCCAGGTAGACCTGGGGATTGTGAAACAGCGATGGGGAGACAATAACTCAGTGTCAGGCTCTCCCTGCTCCCACAACTCTCTTTCCCTACATCATTTTCTCTAGATGGCCACCATGCTAATGGCTACCATTTAGTCAGCATTTACTGTATATGAGCCAGGCACTGTGCGGACGTTTATTCCTTATTTGCAGATGGGAGAACTGAGTCTCCAAGAGGTGGAACAACTTGTCTAAGATCCCCCAACCGATAACTGGCAGAGGGGAGATGGAAGAACCCAGGTGTGAACTCAGACCTGGGGCTCAGAGTACTCCAAGCTACTCTGAGCCTTGTCTCCAGCTCCTGGCCCCTCTGTGTCACTCAGCGTGGTGGGGTGCTCATCCCCAGGGCCCTTGAGAGGATGAGAGACCACAGCAACTCCTAATGCTCCTTCTGCCTGGATTCCACTGACCTCTCCCTTCAGTGCCTCTTGGCCTCTTGTGGCTCCCTCCCATTGCTGGCAAAAGAGGCTCAGCTTTAGCCTGTCCCCCTTGTGCCCCTCAATGCCTTCCTCCATCCTGCCTCCTGCCTCCACCCCTGCTGGCTGGGAGGGTGCACACACCAGGGTCCAATGGTGCCTGCCCTCCTGGGGCCTGATGTCCAAGAGGATGTCCTTGAACGAGACTGGGAGGCCTAGGTTTGGGGACCTGCCCTCCATGCATAGATTCTGACTCCCACCAGCCCCGGCGCCTGAAAGATGCCAAAGGGACCCAGCTGGAGAGGAGGGGATGGCTCCCTGCTTCTCTGGGTCCAATCCCCTGACACCCACTCCAGAACACAGGTGAGCGGCCCGGGGCCCCACCCCTACTCACCTGCACACCCGGAGGGTCGTTCTCAGGGTTCAGGGCCCTGGCCACCAGACCACTCAGCAGCAACTGGTGCATCTGCGCGTTCTGCAGTGACATCAACTCCAGCAGGTCTGGAGGTTCAGCAGGGGTCAGCAGGCCCACTCCGCCATCCCGCGACCCCCCGCCCGGTCCCTTGTCACGTAGCCCGACTTCAGAGCCTTCATCCAGAAGTAGCCTATAGGGGCGCAGAAGCTGGACGGACAGAGAGTACGGGGCAGAAAGAGCATGGGAGGGCGACGCCGAGTCTCACCTTCCTTCACCCGGCCTGGCTGCGGGGCTGGGGCAGAGACGGCCCATGGGAGCGGCTGCAGGATGGTCACCGAGGGCTGGAGACGTGGGCGAGGACACTCAGCCAGGCCAGGGGCAGAAGGGAAGGGGCACGTCGGATCCCAACACCGCTCCCCTGTGCCGATGAGTTTCCTCCCTAACTCCGCGGGCACTGAGTTCTCGCCTTTCCGCCCCCATGGCCTCCCCTCTCCCTGTCCAGTATCTTTTTCTCGGTTTGGGATCTGGGGTCTCATCCCCCCACCTCCCGAATCCAGCCACCCCGTGGAAGGCAGGTTCTGCTCTCCGGTTCAACCCTCACCGTCGGGGCTGCACTCTGTGGGGGCACAAAACCCCAGCTTCCGCTAGCCCCGGAGGCCATGGCCGGCGTTCGCAGGTTTGGGTTACCTCGGCAACGGCAACGCCAAGGCACTGCTGCCTCTACGCATGCGCAGGCCTGCCCCGGGCTCCGGGGGGTGGGGGTGGGGTGGGATCATTATTTAAATTGCTGCCTTTTGCGCTTCTATTTCCTCTGGAATTTACTCCTCCTCCCTTGTGCTAGGCTCTTGGAGTATTGTGTGTTGCTCCTCCCCGTTGCTCACCCGCAGTATTGGGCCATGTTTGTTGAATAAATGAGTGAGTTGCTAGGTAGGCTTGGTTTCCAGGTTCAGATCCCTAGCTCATTTGAAGGGTTCAGCAGGTGTACAGACTTTTGTTGGGGCCGACTTGGGTGTTAGGGGCACGTGAGTGAGAAGGGGTCTCAGATTTGCTCCCCGCCACTCCGCCAGTCAGGAAAAGGACGTTATGTGGGCAGAGTATAGTTACTGAAGAAGACCAGAAAGGAAACACTGGCCTAATTCACAAAAGAAGATGGTATTCTGGCCAAAATCCATGTCCAGTTTTTTAGATTAGCTCTTTGTTCCCCGATTCCTGGCTAAAGTGGGCCTCTGTCCCTCAGAGATGGAGAATGGTGGCAGTCCTCAATCCTGTTCCCTATATTGGAAAAGTTACCAAAACGTGCATTCTTCTGACAGGAAGTTTGCAAGGTCTCCATTGCTTAAGAACAGGTGAGGGGGGAGATCTATTTCGGCAGCTGTGACCATCCTAAGATAGGCCCTGAGCAGCAGTCAAGGAAAATCTGGACAGGAAGCTGGGATTAGCACCAGCTTGGAGTTGCCCTTCCCCCACCTTCCACTTTGGTTTACTCCTTCTCCTGGCAGTCCTGGAGTTTGGCACCAGAAGGCCACCCCCCACCTCCACCACCACCCCCTGCCACTGGCTTTGCTTCTTTGTCCTGTCACCCAGAGAGGAGGCTGTGCATTGGCTGTCTCTGTTGGTTCAGTAGCCTTCAACAAGCTGAGATCCAGTGGCCACAGACCCCCAGTGAGTGTAACACTCCTCCGCCCTCATTCCAGGACAAAATCAGTCATTACGGTCATCATCAACAGACATTGAACAAGATTCTGGCTGTGCATGTAGGTGCCCATCTGAACATTGGTCCAGCCTTGTAGGAAAGTGGAAAACCCATGAAAAGAGAGCAGAAACACACGATCATGGAGAATCCCCAGTGCAAGAGGCACACAGAAAATATAATGAGAAAGGGAGTCCACGATCACTGGAGGGTGGAGATCTGAGGAAGGCAGCATTTGGACAGGGCCAAGGGGCCTGGAGAGAAGGGGCCATCCAGGCACAGATGCAGTGATGCACAGGGCCTGAAATGACCCGATGGGTCTAGCTGTCTGGGTGGCAGAGGAGCAGACACAGGTTATTCATGGGTCAGACTCAAATGCCAAGTTGTAGAATGCAGGCATCAGCACAAGGATAACGGAGCTGTGGATGGGTTTTGAGCAGGAGAGAAAGAAGAGGTGATATGCACAGCCATGTTCTAGGAAGATTCGTCATGTTCCTCACATCTTCGTTTTATTTCAGCCAAAGTTTAGAATCACAAATGTCCTCGGGGTATGTAGCCTCCCGGTGGAATGCTCTTCAGCTGTTGACAGTCTTGGTGTAGGATATCTTTATTGATGTGGAAAGACGTCCAAGAGTTCAATGAAAAAACCAGCAGGCACAGTAAGGTCTTATTTTTGTCTTATAAATAATATGTCTGGAGCTGGGTCGCAGCTTATCAGAAAAGCATGTGCTTAGGAAATGAAAGGTCCTGAGTTCAAATCCCAATACCCTTCCCCATGTGTATATGGCTAGAGAGATGGGCTTGCACTCTGGTGTTCCCCAGGGTAGACTGCTCCTAAACAAACACCTGACTCACTTTTCTCCTTTTCCTGTGCATTCTCTGCTCCATTACACTGCTTCCTGATGTCTCCTTCCAAATAAGCTACTTGCTCCCAGATCCTTGCCTCACACTCTGCTTTGAGGAAATCCCACCTAAGACGCCAGCCCTGGTTTCTCCACATTTCCCCACCTACCCCACCCCAGCTGCTGAAAACTTCTGGGAAAAGCCACTGTACTTGCTCTACAGGACATTCAGTTCAGAGACATTAAATACCAAAATAGACACTGAAGAGAAGTCTTATGGGTATAAAATGGCTGAAAGGTTCAACTGAGGTCAAACTGGATATGGGGAGGGTGGCCAGGAGGCCACCACTTTTATCCCTCAGAAAGGAACCAGGTGCAGGCTGGAGGTGGCTGTCAAAAACAGGTGGGGAGAGGTCCCAGGTCCTCAGTCATAACACTGCATGTTAACCTTGTGCAAAACTTGTGTTTTTGGAAAAGGAGGCTGAGGCAAAAAACTCTGCGTTGTGGTATTCAATTTCTTTGTCAAAGGAAACCAAAACATTTGCTATTTGGAAGGTGCAAGAACTGTGTATCTGCTCTTTATAGATAGGGAGAGCTTACATCAGTCCAGCAGAGCGGAGGAGGTAACCTGCCTGCAACTTTCCTGCTTACTATTGTTTTCTTTCAAGCATTGGACACCCTGCCTACTTCCTTTCTTTCCCCCCTTAAAGAGAACTCTTGTTTGCATCTTTGGACTTTTTTTGGTTTTGGGGGTGTGGGTTTGTGTGTGACCTAAGACAATTTATACCTAAATTTAGTGCCCTAAGACACCCTGTCCTGTCTGTTGCCTTATTTGTAGGAATAAACCACACAGGGACAAAGATTTATACTCAAACGTGTTCATCACAGTGTTATATTTAAGATTTTAAAATTTAACATTACTCAATGTCCACTAATAGGAGAGTAGTTGAGTAAATGCAGGTAACTTACCAAGAGTAATGTGTGGTTGTTAAAAGCCATGGACCTAAAAAATGAGCTATCCCTTCTCTTTAGATGGAAATGGAGAGAAAAGGTCATTTCCCAGGATTCTAGTAGAGATTTCAATGCTTATTTCTGGTACAGGTGAGAAGGCATCGATGAGACAGCAACAACCAAGTAAGGGGTTCTTTCCTTGAGCCCAGTTCCTAAGGGAACCAAAGTATGGAGGTTGAAAGAAAGGGATTAAATATGGCTGCTGAATACATAACTACGTGGCTGAGAAATGGTATGTGGGAAAGCAGGCGCCTCAGAAGCACAACAGTGGAAGAATTTCACTTTTCTGCTTAAAAGCTCTGACTGCACTATTTCTGCAAACTATGGTTGTCCTCGTGAGAGATTTGTGTGTGGTTTTGTTCAGCAGACACCTGGAGGTACTACTTTAAGGATTTATAAATAGACAGACTATGGGATGCTCTGGGGCCTGCTCTCAAGGCCCCACCCCACTGGAATTGCACTATAGCACGGAGTTCCAGAGCCTTCCCCTCCCAGGACTCCTGGAACTGGGGGACACCAACCTTGAGGTGGTGTCCTGCCAACGCCTCCAGCAAATCACACTGAGCAAATGACTCAGATGGGTGATGATGGGTGTGGAGAGGCCGTCGCTGTGGGTCAGGGTTTTCAGGGAGGTAGTTGTGGGATTATGTTGTTAAGGGTGAGTATAACTCAACTAAACTAGTTTAAGGAACAAGTGGCTTAGGATAGGACAGTAATAGAAAGTTGGTCTGTAGTCTAACTGGCTCAGGGACTCTAAAATGTGTCTTCAGGTCCCTGCCTGCCTCCTCCTTTCCTCAGTCTCCTGTACACCTCCTCCGTTAGGTGTTCTCCTTCCTCCTGCAGACAAATTTCCCTACTTCAGGCATCTTCAGGTTTACTTCAGTTACTTGTGACAGATTTAGAGACTTCTGAGAGAATCTTTCTTTATCTGGGCACCTAGAAATCCCAGGGAAGGGCTATGATTGATCCAGACTTTGGACCAAGCCCTGTGGCCAAAAGGACTGGTCAGACAATGGCGACATCACCATCCCTGTGGTAGGGGTCGGGGTGGCCATCATGAAATCAGCAGCCCCACAGAACCATATGCTCAGGATAGAGGAGCTCGCTAGGAGGACGAACACTGTTTCCAAGAGCAGGAAGAACGCATTCCCCTCAGGCTATGGAACAAAGTCATATTTAAAACAGCTCTCGTTTTCTGGTCAGCCCCATCCTGCGAGGCAGATGATACTTGGTGCAAATTAGAAAAATTCACTCCTTCTCCTCGACATTTTGCTACTGTTGCCATAAAATTATGTTAAATATATTAATCTACAGTGACTTCAAATGTGATTGGTGCCCAGAATTGTGCTGTATACAACCCAAAAACTGAACGTGGCAGCTCTGCCCCCTGGTAATGTGGAAGTTCCTTCTGATTACTTTAATCTCTCATTAAAGAACATTTTGCCCCATAGAGTTTCTTGTTTTTGGTTTTTGTACTGGGGATCAAACCCAGGACTTCAAGCTTGCCAGGCAGCCTCTGTGCTGCTGAGCTAAGGCCAGGCCCAGCCCATAGAGATTTTAGAAGGGGATTAAGGTGCCAAGACAGAGACCAAAGGGGGCAGAGCTATAAGTGAAGATGACAGCTGGTTCCCATCACCTCCCACCTCACCTGCAGTGCCACAGAGAGCAGGGTCCCACGGGGTTGGGGGAGTTACAGACAGTAACCAGCGGCAAAGTGAACTGGCATCATAGCAGGCTGGGAGTGAGGATGAAAGGGACTCTAAGGAAGTTTCCAGGAGGCAGCTTGGGAGGGATATGAGAAGAAATGTATGTTCCCTCTGAACGTTAGAAAAAGCGGACCCTTGCATAGAAGAGGCCTGGAGGGCAAAACCTGGATTCCATTAGCAGTAAAACCCATTGAGAGCCAGGTATGATGGTGCACGCCTATAATCCCAGCACTCGGGAGGCAAGTTGGAGACCAGCCTAAACTACATAGTGAGTTCAAGTCCAGGCTGAACTACACAGCAAGGCTCTGCCTCAAAAAACAAGTGAGAACTGCTCCTCAGAGAAGTCAGTGAGCAAGGCAAGATAAAGACTTGGGTACAGGGGACACCAACACTCACACCTAGATTTGGCAAACAAATCATCTCTCAGGGGGAAGGTAGGCAACCTGGGCAGTGACCAGGCTGTGGGAAGTCTCAGGC